CCCATTTTAGGATTTGAAGGTGTACCTGGAATTTTAAGTCACTCTTGGGTTTTAACAGGAAATCTAATTAACTAGGATTAAGTCAGAGTAGTTTTTCCTGTAGTGTTTTATTTGTAAAATTGTACACACTGGTAAGACTGGGTTGTAAGGTTCTTGGTGTGTTGTTAGCATTCAGGGAATTGATACCCATCAGCTTGGATGTAAAGTTTTTTGTGGTTACTTACTACAGTGAGTATTAGTACACATTCATTCCTCAGATCATTTAAGACTGATGAGTCAGCTTATTCAAAACAGACTTGAGAATAGTTGACTAGAAGATAACATGAAAATGGTGTCCTATTGGTACTAGAGTGATATGGCTGAACAACCTTTTTGTGTGTGAAGTTTAATTATTCGGCACATACTGATGAGCAAAAATAAGTATCATTAAGTTAAATTTCATGATAACTAAACTGGGGACCTACCGAAAGCCTATTTTGAAAAATTTATAGCACAGCTGTGCTCATTTGTTTACACATTTATGTATGGCTGCTTTTGTGCTACATGGCAGAGTTGAGTAGTTTTTTTAACAAACTTGGAAAGCCTAAAATACTTGTTTTCTGACCTTTTATAGAAAAAAATTGTTGACGTCTGGAAAGAGTTTGTGTTGGAGTTGTTAGGCCACTATTTTATTTTCTAGAAGCAGTATGCTTGTTTTATGTAATCAAAATCTTCTAAAAAGATTGGGCTGGGGATGCAGCTCAGTGGTAGACTGATTGCCTAGCATGTTGTGAGGACTTGGGTTCAATCCCCAGTTCTGCTCCCTTAAAAACCGTAACAGATTTCAGATTGGATTTAAAATAAGTTTAGTATAGGTGATGAAATGCTACTAGATTAATTTTGTTTTTTGGTTAAAATATTTATAAGCCCCATATTTTGGCACAATTCATCAGTAGAAAATGAGAAAAACTTAACACCTGTACTCAGATTTGTTTGACCCTGTTACTTTCATGTTTAAATTTTAGAGGTTATAAAAGTTGCACTTGCACATAGGATTGTGGAAAAACAACTCAATTTGGTATTTATACTGTTTTGTTTACTTCAGTCCTCTTTTAAGATCCAATTAGGTGTATCTTGACTTTAATAAGCATTTTTCTGTTCACCAGGCACTTACTCTCTCTCAAATTAATCATCAAAAGATTATTCTTGGTACAAATCCATTTGGTAATTAGCATTTTCATGTTTTGCTTGATGGTTTTCCATACTGTGGTCTGGACTGGTTGCCCTCTAATTGTTTAGTAACTATTTGGGGCTTTGCTGTCATTCTTGTGTTCCCTTTGCCTTTCACTTTAGATTTTTTTCCTAGATTAAGTGCTTGTTTTGGTGCAACACAAATTCAGATAGCTTTGACACCTTCCTGTTTATATACCCTAACTAGATAACTTGCATGACAGGATAGAGAATCAAAGGTTTGATATTACTTTTGAGTCTTGAGCTTACATGTTAAATATTTTTACTAATCACTACGGATTTTTTTTTTAAATCATTAGTGTTCTTAAATTTCATGACTGTCTTGAGTTTATTTATCCATCGTGGGCACTCATTGGATCTTACGTTCTATAAAATTGCTCTTCACTTCGGGCATGTTAACGAATTGATTAACCACCCCAGTCTTTTGTCCCTGGAATTCTTGTTACTGAGCATCTTTCTCCCTTCCATTTCACTCTCATAAGCAATTTGTATGATTTAATCTTTCAACCTTTAAAAATGTCAGTCATTTCTTGTACCCCTCCCATCTGTCAGTTTATCAGTGATACTTAATATTTAAGAGTTTACTCCAAGATGCTTTTTCTGTTGCTTTGGCTTCTTCTAGTTAGGGATTTTTCTCAGATATTTGGTGATTTGAGGCTCATAGAAGCGGAGCACTTAAACTAATTGGATGTTTTGAACATTTGGTTGGAGGAGAGCTTGTGAACTCGGCAAGGTTTATTGCTCACTGAGCCATCTGCATTTATAGTGATTATTGAAGAACCCCTAGAAATATCCTTTGTTTTCTCTAGCTAGTCAGGCTCAACAGAGAAGTCTTCTATCCTGTCTGAAGTCATAAAAACTTAGTTTGCCGGTATGCCGATCCTCGGGTTACAGGGGGAAGGCTGAGGGATCCCCATTTCATCACTGCTTATTCAGTCCAAAAAAATGCTCTCTCACCTGGTTCTGAGATTAAATTTCTTGAGTATGGAGGAATCAGTTGTCTGGCAATACTGAGGATGATAAAGATTGTTAGATATTTAACCAACTCTGGTTACGCCTCTTTTACCTATATTTGTACTGGTACTTGGGCTGCCATTTATTGATCCCTGCTTGAATTCTGTTCCTGGTTTTCTGAGACATGTCTTCACTGCTGAGAATATTCAGCATTTATTCAGCATTTGTTAATAGGTGTTGCATGTTTTTAAATGTCTTTCCTGTAACCTTTTCTTTGAAATTGCTAGGTTTTAGTAGGTTTTCAGAAGGGTGTTTGAGTTTGGGGTGGTTGGTAAAAAGATTTAGGCAAACGGCAGCAGATAAATTAAAATATTAGCTCAGTATCTTTCTAGATTTTGGCCAACAACATTCACAAGTAGTTGGCTAGATGATTATGGAACCATCCTGTTATATTAATGAACTGTTATGAAGCTTTGATTTCAATTCTTGCTTGATCCACTTGAAACTACCAACTACATTTTCAGGTAATGAAGTTTTCAGGGACTGGTCCTGAATCAAATTTTGATCCCTTTTGGTTTACTAGGTATCTACTATGAGGTGAGTTCATTTCTCTTCCTGGGGTTCTATGTCTTTTTATTCCTTTCTTAAACTTCAGTGTGTATTATAAGGTTGCAAGACTTAAACTATATTATTATTTTCCACGTTGTGATGGTAGTTTTTCATTGTACTTTGTGGTGCCAGAGTTCTAGTCCACTGTAGGTGGAACATCTGTTCAGGTGCCAGTTTACACTGAGATAGTCTCAACTACATTAAGATCCAGTTTTAGGCCTTTGCATCCTGTATATTAGAAATTCAGTTTATGTGCTTTTATTTTATTTCTTGGGTTTATTTTGGGGACTGCTTTGTTTGTTTAGGGTTTTAAGGTATTAGGAATTTTGTAAACAACAAGGACTAAATCCACCGTCCACTACAGTATCTTTGTTGATCCTGATATGTATGAGTTTATTAGGTTTGGGGTTAGTTCAACTTGATACTGTTGAAATGCACAATCTCAGTGAAGAAAATTTATTTGGTCAGTGTGATAACTGAAGAATTACCCTAAATTATTCATTAAATGTGATTATTTTTAAACTACTTTTAAAAAAAAGTTGAGAACGTAATATCATTCTTTACCAGTCACGTTTAAGCTATTGTGGTTTAGCATAGTCTTGAAGTTCCATGAATAAAATGATTATAGCATGATAAATATCTCGTGCAAACTTCGTTTACCTGGCCTTTAATTCTCAGTTGCCTATAATCTGGTAAACTAGGGAAGGATTGGTTATAATCTGGTTGGCATTTCAAAGAGGCCTGTAGATCCTTTGTATTAGAGTTAATCAATTGTTATTGGTGTTGACTGGGATTGTTTTTACATATTCCAAGTTATCTTAGCTACCCTAATGTTAAGATGGTGAAAGTTAACAGTTTGTTTCATAAGCTTTTGAGTTTTTACTTTTACCTCCTGTAGAAAGACAAGGGCACACATTTGATAGTTACACCAGTCAGCATTTTAATCATGGTCTAGCATGAACATCACCCAAGATTGTTAGCATTCTAATGAGTGTATCAGGTGGCTTACTGAGTGGTGCAAGAGAGGTGGTGGGTTGCTATAGCTTGAGAACATGGGTTAATTTTTGTTTTATTATTCTTTACAGGCAATGTACTTGCCTTCTCTGTATCTTCTGTATCTTGATTCTTTGTACCTTTGGTTTGTCACTGATCTTAGTCATCCATTGCATTACAAATGGGTAACCAGTAGCTGAAATTGACTTGCTGTTGTCTTTAATTGAGCTGGTTATATATTTGACCTTAGCACCCCTTTAAGATCTCAAGAGAATTTATGTGCTTATAGCAGCCTCTCCTAGGTAGACTTAGGTAAAGAATGTGGGACCTGGTGTACTATAATTTAGGGCAGATCCTAACTACTAAATGTTGGTGAGTTTTCACCAGTAAGTCCTGTAAAGGCTGAAAATTTGGGATGATGGATGTAACAAGGGAATGGGAAAAGGATTTTAACAATATTACTGTACTATTTAAAAATGGTGAATTCTTCAGAGGAATTAGGTATTCTTGTTACAACAGTTCAAATCTGTTAAAAGTCTTCATTTAAATAAGACAGATAGGCACTAATTCTTTAGTGATAATAGAGGTTATAGGTTTCTGTTTGGGGAAACA